CGTATCTTCCTTATACCGAATGAAAAACACTTTCCTTTTCATCTACCAGGCCTTTGATTTGAAAAACAACGACACGATGCCAGTATTTGAAATCAGTGATTTTTTACAGTGTTGGGTTTCTTACACCCAGATCTTACAAGCTGCGAAAAAAGTATATATTTTTTATCTTGTTGGCTGTTGCTAATATCGATATATGCATGGGCGGATTTAGGAGTGTGTCGAAGGGCAGCAGCCGACCCTTTTCCTATGAAAGTTTGTATTATTTTTTAAAGAATTCCGTCTCAGAAAAATAAAAAGTATCCAAAATAGAGCTGGTAAGTATCCTGGCCTCCCCTCTCTGAATTTTCTGGATCCGCCCCTGATATGATTAACAATAATATCGAGTTCAACTATACTTAGAACGCTTTTAAAGCAATATAATGATTCAGTTCGGGCTGGCTCTTAATGATTTATAGCGAGCCTTAAAGCGTCCAATATCCTACTTTACATCATATTCACATCAGTCGGCAACAGGAGCTAATAATAATATTATGATCTCTTATCGGCACTAAGCGAAATTCTATAGAGAATAGGTTATTTTGTTGCATCTAACAGCGCTATAAGTGATTATACATAGGTTTCCTTTGGAAATGTAAAATCAAATAGAAGTTATAAGCATCAAAAGTCAACTCATGTCATGTTTCTTTGTCTCTAAAATGGACTATTTAGTCAGCTGAACGCTGCATTTATTCAGTTATACACACTGTGCGTACAGCCCCCGAAATGATACCGACCGCGAAATGATCCCCATTTCTGTTCCATTCTTGGACGTGATCGATTCTTTCTGACTTGAGTTGAATGCTTCAAAAACTGGGGTATATGGGGAGATAGAGAAATTATGAAATTAACTTTGACTTAAATATTATCCGTGATGAAAAAAAAAAAAAAGAAAAAGAAGGAGTCAGACGTCATAAAAGCGTCAAAACTTATTTACTCCTTTCCACACAATGTGGTCACAAGCCGGTAAATCCGCGGCCGTATTTGCGGTCGTATATCAGTTATATTTGGCTGAAAGTTTAGACTTCTCAGTGGGCACATGAATAAATTATTACCACATTTTCAATCCGTGTCCTTGGTTGCAAGAGGTTTGGGAAAATGTCGATTTATAAAACAACAAAAATGATTTCAACTTTCAATCTCCAGTGCCCTTTGTTTTCTAGTTAATTTGTGAATGAAATTATTTCCAGCTTCACACCGTAAAAGCCAGTAGAGTCTATTGTAATATTTTATTCATTACCAACAACTCTGTTCCATTTACACTTCCATTCGCCAATCGCAGAGATAACAAAGATTTCAATTTCTTGGCGTAAAACAAAGGATTTATAGTTTCGTTCTCGTTTCGAGAATTGAATAGGAATAATGCATGCGAAGCCGAGAATGTGAAAGAAATAGTTAACGCACTGATAGAGCGGCTAAAGTAAAGCGCTTGGACCAACCATAAAATAATTTTTAACTATGTGGGCCATATGGTTCCAGACAGACCGGTTGCTCGTTTGAGTTTCCCAGAAGCTGGAGAGCATATAAAGGAAAATGAAACCTGATTTTACAGAAACTAGGGATCTCAACTGTATAATCAAAACGACGAAATAAGCATACTTAGGCGGCTAAGTGTTAATATTCCCATGTAACTGACTGTTCATTCATTATTATTACCTTGCTTCTTCCCCGATTACTTGAGATTTCCGCTCAATTTTGGCAGTCTTCTTTATGTGAAAATGTTGAACTTTCCACTTTTCTCCAAAAGAAAAAGGTCAAGTTCTTTTCGTACACCACCGTGCGTCGATAAACTGTTAATGGTATAAAATGCCGAATATAAAGTATATATACGCTTCAGTTGAATAGCAACCTCGTCCCTAGTCTGCTACACAGCCGCTTTTAGTGTCGTCACGCAACGCGAGGAGTGTTGCGTGACGACACTAAAAACGGCTGTGTGGCAGACTACCTCGTCCCAGGACCCAGCTAAATGCCGTAGTTTGTTTCTTTCTTTCTTTTTTTTTTATTTTTTTTACGGTAAGTCCCATAAATTAGTCAGTAAAACCAACAGACCTAAAAATGATATTTGCTTTCCTATTTGATATCTTATCCTTCGAATGCGCTTATCAACGGAGTGGAGATTCTATTTTCGCAGAAAAAAAGTACCCTAAAATCTGTCTAACAATACACTGGTCCGTAAGGACGAACCATTAGAAAAGTTATGTAAGGGGGTGGGGGATGGGGGCGCGGGCGAAGTACAAAAAAAAAATTCGCGCAAGGGAAAATTGAATGAAAAAAAATTCTTGCATGCTAATTAATCCTCAAAAATATTCATGCTATGGCCTAAAAAAAATTTATGCAAGGAATTTGATAACGAAAAAATTCATGCGGCTCGAAAATTCCCCTCCCCCTCCCCCATAACTTTTCTAATGGTCCGTCCCTAAAACGCCGTGACATTGACCTAGTATGGGAGTTGCTCGCTCCGAGTTATGGGCTCCTGGTAGAGTCTAATTTTGTCCCCGATTGTAGTTCCCTATTTTGCGTTTTATGACCCTCTACTTGACCAAACAAGCTTGGTCAATAATACATGACCAAGAGAACTTTTTCCTTGTGGCCACTCGGATACCTTAAACTTCCCCTTATTGTAAGTCCCCACCCCCCCCCCCCCCCCTCCCCCCTCTCCAGCCTCCCCCCCCCTTCCCCACAACAATCAACCCCCCACTAACCCTCCCCCACTTCCATCTATTAGTAATCTCTCTTCTTTTTTTTATTACATTGTGAACATATAATTGAATATCGTATTGTTTCGCCAATTTTTACCGGTTTATGGGCCCCTTGTAGCTTCTAATTTTGTCCCCGATTTTATTTTCCTTTTTTTCGTTTTATGGTCCTCCATTTGACCAAACAAGCTTGGTCAATAATACATGCCCAAGAGAACTTTTTCCTTGTGGCCCCTTGGATACCTTAAACTTCCCCTTATTGTAAGCCCCCCCCCGCCCCCCCCCCCCGTCCCACTTATAGGCCCATCTACCTTTCACACAAAAAAGATACACCCCGTTATAAGCCCTCCCTCTAGCTTGTATTGAAATGAATTCGATTTTTTTACGACGTTCTGAAACTTAAGTAATGATCCGGGTAAGGTGGATAGCAATTTCTTTTGTTATGCGGCAACGGTGCTTTCCCACATAGGAATGTTCTCATTTTTACACAGACAATAAAACGACATGAAGGCCGTTTACTCAATAAAATGCATTTACACTCCACTTTGAAAGGGTGTTTTTTTGTGTGAAAAGATTTTGACCAATCACAAAAGTTGAAAACAATAGCCAAGAAAAGTTTACAATTTTACATGTTCCCCACATGTATAGGATTTCTTTGTTATTCAAACTGAGACCAGATTTTGTTATATGGAAGATGGTTGGGAAGTAAGGATGAATATATGTACCGCTTTATGAAGTTTTGTTAACTTTTGCTGTTTAAGACAATCAGAAATAAGTACAGACAATAGAAATGTTAGCACCTTTTTTGCATTCCAACATGTTCGTTGCCGTTGTTGCTATCGTTCACATCTGGACCGTTTCTTAAAAAGCGAGTAAATTAAAAAAATATATTTTGATCTGCACCGCTATGTAGCTCGTTTTCAAACGCTTCCGTTTTCTATTCTGTTAAAAGTCCTCTCGGATATAAGCTCACCCGTTTATAAGCCCTTCTAAAACCCCTTACGAAGTTGTATACGTCCAGGACATATGAGAGCATCAGTACGCAAGCTGCGTAAAGGACTTCAGTTCACATTAGCGTTTTTGGCGCGCCAGGCTTTGAGCCTCTTAAAGATTCTATAGAGGATTCTGCAAATCGTTTTTCAAGCAATTTATTAAAATAAAGCAATAGTTAAAGGTCACAAATGTGTTGTCAACAATGTGTTTTTGCTAGAGATGTCTTTAGGGACTTCATAGCCTGTGTCGCAGACAGTCTAAACCACCTGTATAAAGACTAAACTAATGCTCGAGACGATGCGTGGGCTGGCTGAAACGCAGGCTAGGAACTAAACTATAACAGAGATAAAAGACAATCTTTAATACAAACCGTCATCTAACTGATTTACAGACAGAGAATAAAAACAATAATTACATTTGACAGGTAAATAATAAAGTTCGCGTTCTTTGTTACAATTTCGGGGTTTTCAGAGCCCCGGTATTGTATCTTTACAGCACGAAAATGTCTCGTCATCATCTCCACAAACCGCCTCCAAACTGTCATCATCTGTCTCGCAGTTTTCTACCAGGGGAGGTGGATTAAGCACCACGAAACCTATGGGAATTAAAAAATAATGCCTTAAACTTTGCTTCCAAACGTAAAAAAAGAAAAACTGTCTGCTAGCAAAGCAGTGTTTTCAGGTGAGCCACAGTAATAGTGATACGTAATAGTAACTGAACCAATCACAAATCACAACAAAATTGACAGCAATTTATTATGGATTTTATTAATAGCCTTTGGATAAACTGCTGTGACAACTGAAATGAAACCTCTTTGCCAGTTATTTTGGAGGGTATTAAAAAGGTCAAATTTTGCTTCCAAGAGAACACAAAATCAGAACTTTGTAGAGTACCACGCAAAGTACTAAAGGAAAGCATTGTTTGGCAGCTTTCGTTTGAACGGTTGCATCTAGCTGAGACTCAAAACTTACAATCCCCTTTTACAGCACAATTGACAGTGCTACAGGTCTAAAAAGTACTGCTTGAAGTAACCTCATGGTGCCAGTCAACTCAAAGTTTAGTTTAACGCATGCTCCAACAGTCTTCACTGGTTAGTTTCACTTTGCTGCAAGTTGTGATTGGTTCATTTCATTGCGTGCACTCTAATTTGCTGTGACTAACTGGAACTTCAATCTTCGAAAGAACACTGTTATTGCAGAGTGATGACAAGGCCATTTTGATGCATTTACAGTTTTAAATCCCCCGACTGCCTGCAAATCTGTTAGATTACATTCGTCACATGGCCTTCAGAGTATGACAAACTCTCAATATTTCATCCTCATCTGATACAACTTCTGTTGCAATTTCATCATCCCCATTTCCCTCATCCTCTTCACACATTATATCGGCCACAGAAGTAAACCAGATTTGATCTAAATTTGAGTTAAAAATAATTGCAATTAGCGCACAATCATTTATGACTTCCTCTAATAGCCATGACAGTAGATGAATATGAATTCCAATAGTTGTCTTGAGGATGTGTTGGCTACAATAGTACACACGCTCTGATTGGTTGTTTTCTTGTAATAAATAGGCATTATTTTCTTGTAATGACCGGGCATTACTAGCTAGGTGTCCAACGCATATACAATCTTATGGACATCCATGTTATGGTCAACTGACATCTGTCAAAAAGGGTATCCACTGACGAGTGTCACCTGATGGTATTGTGGGCTAAAGTGTGCAACTCACTGAGGTGATGTTGTTTTTTTAAGTAATCCACTGACCAGTTGTTGGTTTTAATCTATTGCAGGCTCAGGTCCATAATGAAAAGGCCAAATAATAAATAACTTATTAACCTCGTTCGTTTGGTCATTACATAGCCTGCGTAGCATGGCGGTTTTGGTTGGGCGCGCTAAGTAATAAAGGCGGGCGAGGGCAGACAAACCGCGAGGAGATTGGGGCGGAAGCAACTTGAAAAACCGCCTGCACGGACGGGGGGCTTTTTTGAGTCGGTCCGCACGCCAGCGTACGGATCGTTCCGATTGGTTCGGAATGTTCGCCTGTCAATCAAATATTTTGGTAATCTCCCATGGGAGAGTTTCGAGGGACTGAACAAATCATCTCCGCAAAACAAAATCAAAATATCAAAAAAGCGTTGACCGGAGCGTCGTCGGTCTTGAATATTTGACGGGAAAACAGGGCAATTGTATTGAAGCTCAAACAGGAAATGGCCATTTACAGTCTTCTTCAAAGGAGAGATGTCATGGAAATTTTGTCAACAAGATTTGGCAAGAGCATGATCTTTACTGTCTTTGCTATGGCCAAAGAAGAAATATCCTCATCGAAAACCTGTATGATCACAATTTCCCCTCTAAAACGTACTATCGACGACCAGATATCTGAAATGTTGTCGCTGTGCTGTAAAGCAATGGACCTTATGACAGAAACAGTAAATTTCAGTGCTTCGAGAAAGTTCACCTCAATTTTCTCCATTACTCGGTGTTAGAGAATAACACACTCCAGCGCAGTACATCGAACGGTGTCCGCGATTGTGGTCGATGAATCGCATACGGTAGAAGAAAGACGCACAGCGTAATTCTCCATATTTTTTTGCTTGGTGTAGCTTAAGCTACAACTCAAATCTGAAGATCGCGCTATACGCAGGGGCACCCAATGGATCTGTTCCTCAAAATATCTGTTCTTCAGGCACATTTTTGCTGGCTGGGAGATGTGGAAGAAATAATAGTCCTTGGAAGGAAAGTGTTGCTGGGAAAAAGATAATTCAGGGTGTCAGAGGGGATTTGAAGTCTAGAATAGCTGCTACGGGTCACTTGTATGGGTTACTTACCACTCAAGATCTGAATTGTGCCCTATGAAACTTCCCAGTAAGTCAGGTTGCAGGTTGTAAGTTTGCTGGCTGGGAACTCTTCCATCAGTCTTGCTGGGAGTGAGGAACAGATAATTTTTTTCCAGCAATCTCCCAAAATGCTTAAAATAGTCTCAGAAAACTTTATTCACGCTTTGTTGTTGTTTTTAGGTCTTTTTCTCAAAATTTCCCGTTGGGTGCCCCTGTATACGTAAAAATACAACATCCTGCAAACAACACTTACAAAGCCGGGCCCAGCGTCCAAACATTCACGGACAAAGCAGTGACAGAAACTACAAACCAAGGCTCCTTGGTTTGTAGTTGTCCAGATCCAGGCATTTAAGTCGGAAAAGACCAAAGAAACTAAAATATTTATCTGCCGTAATAAAAAGCTTTAGGCTTTAAGAGTGGTCAAAGAAATTAGTACTTTACAACTGCATCTGAGATCAACAAATTCTAATTAGCGAAAATAACATTAACCACAGGAAATAATTACTCAATACGGATTAAACAAACCAACTCCATGACCTCTAAATAAATGTAAGACTTAGTGCAGCAAAAATAAGATCTACTCAGTCAAGTTTAGAACGCAGTGTAGTCACCTATGCGCGAGATAGCCACAAAGAAAAAACCCGTGTTTGTTCAAGCAAACTCCAATTCCGGCCAAGGTCACGTTTTACACTATATCACGAGCTTTTGTGTCGTGTTTAGGCTGTCAACACTTTATTTCTGATTGGCTGGGAAAACTGAAACCAAATAAGTTGTCAACAGAATGTCAAAATGAGTTGAAGGGGGCGGCAGTTGAAAAGGCCACGAATCCGGGCAGGCGGTTTTTATTTTTCTCGCGGCTTCGCCGCTCGTTCTCGCGCGCTTCGCACGCGAATTTCGCGGCTACGCCGCTCCTGCGCCCGGATCAACAAAACCGCCATGCTACGCAGGCTAGTCATTACAGGGAAATCTCAGACCTCAGCCTTGATGTACTGACATATGTCAAGACCCTGGTCTGAGATTTCCCTGTAATGACCTCACTCTCCATTAAAAAGGAGAATATAATGCCTAGAATATATTACATCATGTGATTTGTCTATGCAAACAGCATGCTAATGACAGTGTTTGAAATTACATCTTATTGGCATCAGGAGATAAAGTTGAAAGAATCTCAGGGCATCACGTTCACTTCTCAGATTTTGAAGTAATACAGTTTAATAAACGAGGAGAAGACTCTAGTTCCTCTTGCATGGCGAACAGCAAGCTGTTTTGGAGCCCCAATGTCCCCTGGCCAGAAAACAAGCTCTCCCTTTGGAAACCACATAAGTTGAAGACCACACAAGCTGTATCTGTCCAGATGATTGAGGTGGGGATAGCACCTCTTTCTTTTGCACTTTCACTTATACCAATAATGAGTCCCCTTCGCTTCTGACGATTCTCAATATTATTAGAAAGCTTGCTCCAAGCCATAATGTTCCCCCATAAAATAATAATTTACAGAAGAAGAAAAGGGGCTCTGAAAGCAGTTGACTGGACTTTGAGATCAAGAGCAAATAAACTCTGTCATGCAACATTAAAGGCAAATTATTTAGTGATGAGCCATGTAAAAAAAAAAAAAAATGCCTTTAAGCTTTGCCAGAAAATAATTTGTCATACACCTTTTCTAAAAGGTTGCTTATTAATATATTACAATAATTGTCATACACTAAAATGCCAATAATCTTGATACAGAAAATCCGATCAGAGTAAAACTAGTTTGCAGGCCCAACACAAAGAGAAACTATCAAATGTTTTCACAACAATGAAGTACCTTGCTATGATCAATGCTTAAAGGTAAACCTGCTTCAAAAACAAACTTCTCTGACTTTTATTGCTGAAGAACGATTTCAGCTCATTTATTGCTGATGGGAAATGTTTTGAATATGAGTAAGATGTAGATGTTGGGGAATGATATGGAACTGCACAACTGCATCCTGTCCAAGTCATGTGTGATTATAATAATGGCTATGACTAAGAACTTCCGGTATTTTTCTTTGAAATGTCCTATGATGAACTCACACATGTAAAAAATGTATAAACTTACTGACAGCTGCTGACAGTCTGGTGTGTCTTCTGGCTAGACTTTTACACAGATTATCTCTGGCTATTGTGTTGAGTCTGTAACAAAGAAAAACAAACAAATAAATCTTCAGGGTTTCATAAAGGACCACTAAGAAGGTGACCTCGAGCCAATTGAAGTGGGAGTGACTTCCCACTGAGCTCTGTAATTATCATGATAATCATTCTCAGCATAGGCCTGATTCAGCTGGCTAGGGCAAATTAAGACCAAGGTACTTACCAGTCAAAGCCTTTAGTGAACACTGCTGCTTACTGAAGGGGTTGCGTCAAAATAGCCCCCTCCCTACCCCACTAGTTTTTCCCCCCAGGCCTGAACCACCCACCCATTGTTAAGGCAGTCCCTGGGCTATCCAGCTGTACCCACCAAGATGGCACGCCCCCTACTTTTTTGGACACCGGGCTGGCCTGGAGCCAGGCTGTGCCTGACGCCAGACGAAAACCTAGTGGCCACATTTTAACAAAATCAGACAGATATACACCTCATGAAACCACCAGTTTATTATACTACTGACATAAAATACAAATATATCATTAGAACTTGTTGATTATTTCCCTTTTCTCCCTCTATGGAAAAAGTAGCCCCAGCTGATATTTTGAGCTATACAGAAAATGAGAGAAGCGACTCAAGATACAAAGCAACTGCAATGGAAGCATACTTACAATCCACAGTCTCTAAGAATAGATCTTCCTACAGAAGAGGATATACTTCTCGCTACAAAGTGAAAGAAATAACTTTAGATTATGTAATAATTTGTGTCTAATTGTTGGCTGCAAAACGGTCCACAACTTGCAATAAGCCACATACCTTTTGGTATACTGTTCGCAGACAAAGCAGCTTTCTGTGAAAAAATATCTTAGCGTTAGGGGAATTGTATCAGAAATGCTAACATCATTGATCAAGCCAACTTACCGACATCTGAACCGAAGCTCTCGCAAATGTTCGAACACAACGTGCAGCAGCCGCCATCTTAATAAATTCCCATCAACCTTTTGGCGAGTAACTAACCTCGTTTCCATGTTACTTCATGAACATGCGAGTTTGTGTTCAGCGGTTATTTCAAAATGGCGGCTACAGCTGCACGTTGCATTCGTTCTCTGTCCCGTTCTTCAACTGTGGTGAGCTCTGAGACCATGTCTTTTGTGGTGTTTTCAGTTTTAAGATTTAGTTAAATCATTTGATTACTTGTTGCAGTTGTCTTCAAGCATCACGAGGCATACTTCACAAAGTAAGTTTTCCTGCAGTGGAGTGATTGTATTTTGTGAACATTGTATGATGAGCCGTTATATCCTTTAATTAACCGGATTATAAATCAGGTTGTTTTAATCTAGTTATTAGACTTTCTATCAACTGACCTAAAGCTTCTTCTTCTCACTAAGCTAAGTAGCCCTGCAGTTTGTAGTATTTCTGTGGTTGTTCCCAACCTATATCGACGGTAGTTGAGAGAATTTACCTTTTCATCGCTGATCAGTACACTGTAGTGTCACTGATGACCTCCATTCTCCTTTTGTCACTCAGTGTAGTTCAAGTGATATTGTCGACAAGTGAATTGTCAGCAAATCGTCTGTGATTATTTTTGGTTAAGAGAGTCAATAGTAAGAAAAGCACAAATTAATGATGTAACACAGCATCATTAGGGGTGTGAAAATTAATGGGCTAATATTAACAGAAAAAAATGCACTTTATTTGAGTGTCAATACACTTAGCCCAAAAGTATTGACAAGGGACACTATTTTTTATCTCGAACTGGAAACGGGACTGCCATTTTTAGGTCTAGCTACTTGTAATGCAAAGGGAGTACATTCATTTCTCATTTATTTAACCCTTGGACGTACACGCAAATTCATACCCCCACCGTAGTACAAAGGGGGTTGGAGGGGGGGGGGGGTGGATGGAACCGCTCCCCAGAGTTTTTACTATTTTGCAGTATTTCAAAACGATTTTGCCTTCAGTGGAAAGCCTTTGATCTTCTTAACATGATGAGGTATATAATTTTACGGTTGGTGGCGGTGCTGGAGGCCTTTAGGATAACAATGGTCACCATCTTGGCTGCCATCTTGGATTTTACCAAGAATTAGAAATCAGGTTAAAACGGCGAGAAATGCTGATTTTTTTGTGCTTGACATTAAAAATAACACATAAATAAGCAATCTGCATGATTTTAGCCACAAGATTTACTTTTATTGTTGAAAGAAGTTGAAAAAACATGTATTTTCACTCAAGAATGCGTTGACCACCTGCTACTTATGACGCCATATCTGCTAACCATAGAAACTGACTATCACTGAACTTGTCTCAAAATGTGTGCATGCAATAAAAAAACAGCTACTGAAAATGTCTGGTGCTGATGTTTTATTGTCTAGGAAAAACTCAGGAAAACCTCGGAGACGCCTTGTACGTCCAAGGGTTAAGACCCTTTGTATTGGTCTCACTGTCTGGCGCGGGAAATCAAACCCGTGATCTTCCGCTCTGTAGTCAAGCAGTATACTAACTGAGCTAATCCTTCCGTGGTTAAAGAATCTTAGATTCTCGCGAAGCAAAAATAATAATAATCCATTTTTGTTATTATTAATTTGTTTAAAATAATATCTGGCACGAAATTTTTGCAGGTTCTAATTTTTGCAATTTTTGCGGTTTTTCCAGCGATCCGCAAAAATAAGTTCCTGCAAACATTTTTCAGAGTAAATATTCTCTAAATTAATAATGGAATTTAATAATAATGGAATTTATATAGCGCTTATACATCGCTGTTCTAAGCGCTTAAATTATATTTAATTATACTTGCTTTACAAAAATACAGCACCAAGAAATCATGTCTGTTCAATCACAACTTGTCTCTTTCATTCAGAAACAACGAAATACTGGTTAATTGCTTGAAAATATGTCTTTCTATTGCACATACTCAATAAAAAAGAAAACATTATCAATGCTGGGTGCTGGGTACTTTATGAAAATCACAAAAATCAATTCCCAGCAAGAAAAACCAATCTGTCCTAATCACAAAAATTAGTTCCAGCAAAACACAAAAAATTGCCAATCCACAAAAAATAAACTCCCACAATAATTTCATGCCACATGGTATGCTCTTTATTTTACTCAACAGGATCTATGTTAGCCTCTTCATCGCCACTGCTGAAATCATTTGTTAGTACTGAAAGTGGATTGTAAGTAATGTTATTATAATAAAACTGCCTGTGAAATTATTTATTTAAATTTCTTTATTCTTACCAAGATTACCCTCATGGTCATCATTATGTCCTTGAAATCCACCGAAAATAATCAATATGAGAACCAGTTATGATACGTTTGTGAATGATTTTTTTCACTCGCAAAGCCTCAATCTAATCTGTTTCTAGTATACTGCATTTTTCAATAAAAAAAATCACAAACCAGTTGAGCTTTACAAGTCCATTGTTGTTACATAATGACTGTTTTATTTTATTTTTCTGTTTCCTTATACATTTTTGTAGATTAAAAGGATCAAGAAATGTTGCAATTTCATCCAGGTTAAATATCAGCAAAAGATTTGCACCATCTTTCTTTGTCTGTAAGTTTGTGCCTTTTATTTAAATAGCGTAATATTGTAAAATTCCGAAAATAAGCCCCTCCTAGTATAAGCCCCTCCAAATATAAGGCCCACAAACTCGTAACGCAAAAACCCTCCGTTACATCGCCCCACCAAATATAAGCCCCCTGGTGGGTTTGTACTTGGAAATTGCCCTCAAATACAAAGTAAAACAAAGCAAAAACAGTAAATTTCCTTCCAACTATAAGGCTAGCTCAATCGATTTTGAAACACAAATTTCCCTCGGTAGATAAGCCCCTCCAAAAATAAACTCCTCGAAGAGGGCCTTTGAAAAATATAAGTCCCGGGGCTTATATTCAGAATTTTACGGTATTTAATGAATAATATTGTAACCAAGCCTGCAACAATAGACAGTCATTAGACAACTTTCCAAGCCTGGTCATCCTTTATCACTCATGTCTGATGAAATATCAACCTTGATCACTAGACATTATGTTTGGCTTTTAAAACAGAAATAATTATTATTACAGCTTATCATTTTGAACATGAGACTTAAATCTGTGTCAGGTAATAAAAACCAGACCAGATGTATCGAAAAATTAACATAAGGATAATATGTTTGACCACATTTTTGGTTTGTTAAACGAAAGTAATGACAAAGTCAGGCATCTGTCTTTATGAAAGCAATGATTGTTCTCTGCAGCCCTGTTTAACTATTACTTTTTGGCTCAATTTTTTAGTGATTTATAAAGGTTCAGGTGATAATGTTACAGGACAAATTTGATTTTAGGCTAATTTTGATTTAACCTTGGTTGATTCACAATTTCCCTTTTCTCCTAGTCCTAGGAGATGAAGAAAATTGAGAATCAACCAATCAATCAATTATTGAGAATCAAACTAGGTTAATATTTTTTTTTACCTGAAACCATTTTAACTTGTAACTCCAATTTTTGTATTACATAAGCAAAGTAAATATGTGTACTGCAGTAGCTAAGTTCATGTGGATTATTTGGGCTTCTTATTACAAAGCACTAGTCACAATGTGACACATCAGTAATCCTTTTCTAAAATTAAAAAAAAGTACTTATCCTTTTTATTGAACTCCGTTGTACTTACTCTTATTTACTTTCACAAATTTTTAGGATAATAGGGTGTACTGTTTTGCAGTAATAAATATTGCAAATATTGCTATAATTTATTGCAAACAGGCTACTTGCCTTACACCTGCTGAATACCAGGGAAAAGAGGCCATCTCTGCTAGCAGGGAATGCACAGACCTGAATGCTGGCAATAATCTTTGCATATAATTTATTATCTTCAATCAGATTTCAAGTTTTCTACGTTATTGAATAGTTTTTCATTTTTGTATTTCATCGTGTGACTATATGAAATTAGCAATACACGGAACTAAGAATAAGGCTGTCAAGGTGTTACAGTAAGAACTAAGTTCTATCGTTGTGTCAGAAGATTTTCCTTTAAATTATTGTTCTGTCTACAGGTAATGTAGCCCAGGCCTGTCCTCTGTCGATTGACGTGGGCTGTGAAGTGAGTGATGCTTTAGATGATAACCTTGGAGATGATGATGGCGATACTTGGTCTCAGAGTGATGATGAACCCTATCAAGGCGACACCTAACACAGACTCACTGAAGACAAAAAACTTTGGATAAATTGATTTTAATGCAGTCAGCAAGACAATAGAGCATTGTTTTATTCTATAGACTTGTAACTTTTGTCGGTTATGTGAATATCAAGTGGTCGTGGCTGTTTGTTAAGTTTTTCAAACCCAGAGTAGCTGATTCAGGGAACTGCTACTGCGTGGGTTAGGTGATGCTGTCAATGAAGGCTTAGTGCCTTGCTTTAAGTCAAGAATTTTTTTTTACTACCTCGCTCTTTGCCATCCTTCAAATACTTTCTCTGGACTTTTTATGTAAGAAAACAATTTTTATTACCACCAGTACAAACTGTGTAAATTTTTGAAATACATATTTTGTTGATCCTCAGACCATGCCTTTTAGTGTGAAAAGATATTAGGGCATATTGAGCGGGTAAGTCACACGGTACAAAAACACCATGCTTGGAATGCAAGAAACAATTTGGGACAAGTCAAAGAAAGCTTTATATACCATTCAAAATGGTATTTTCCTTTGTTTCTTTTGTCCCAGAACATTTCTTGCATGATTTCGGCCAGCATAGCTTTTTTACACCACATGACTGACGATCGAGCTGCAAGGGCCTAATTCCAAACCCTGGTTCCAGAGGGAGCACATGACATTTCTTTTCATTTTTACCTTAACATGCGTGTCTTTCAGACCTAAACATTTTTAAGTCTATGCCCAGTTTGGATCAAAAGGGCAGAAAACCATATCCTTTGGTACCAACACACGTGTGTGGCTAGGTAGCGTATTTTAGGGCTTACCCTCCCCCACCTCTGCCTTGCCCTCCCAAGCCTTTTACCAGAGTCTCTTCATGGGTTGAGTTTTAGCACTGCAGACGATATAGCATCATCTGTCACGATTTACAACAAAGGCTTGCTAACTTTTAGCGTATTGTCAATAAATCTCTAAGTAAAATCTGTGATAAACTGTTCCGCTTAAACAGAGTACCCACTAGGTAAGCCTCGTCATGGGGGTGGACGAGCAAAATTGTTAAGAGACTGGGACTTCGTACATTTCAAAGATGGCGGGCGAAGACGACTGCTTCGATGAAGATCTTCTTTTCAAAGAATTTGAGGTAGAAAAGGCGAAAAAGACCGTCATAGGAGAAAATGAGGGCTGCAATGAGAAAAGGTCATCGAAATCTTTAAAAAAAGAGAATGTACGCCTAAAGAAAGCTCTGAAAACTTTGATCAGTATGTTGAGGGTCGCTCATGCTCCAACAACGGGAAGCGAAAGTTCAACGCCGGAAGCATGTTTACCTCTGTTTCAGGCAGTCTTTTTTGATAACAGGGCATCTATAAGAAACAGAGAAAAAGTCGAGGAGTTTGTGCAATCTCTACAGCAACGCAACTCCGAGAATGGCGACGAGAGAGAATCGTTTGGTAGCGAGAATTTTCCGCCATCTATCTTTGAACTCAATTATGAACTGGAGAAGCTTACCAGCCAAGGTGATGGTTGCAGTACGTCGATGGCTGTTATAAGTTCTCTTCAGTACTACGATCAATACTGCATAGACTGTTGTGGGCTTCCTCTGATTGACTATAATCCCAACATTAGTGACGGATGGAATATTCCAAAATATGAACAGGTTTATTTCAGTGTTTTGCCCCATGATGAAGAGACGCCGAGGGTAAAGATAAAACAAAGTAGGGCTTGTTTTAACTGTGGCAACTTTGGCCACAATGTTCAAGACTGCCCTGAACCCCGAGATTTTGCCAGAATTAGTGCAAATAAGAGAGAGTTTGTCAATAAATTTGTCTCCCCTATAACTGGTAACTTAAAATCCGCAAAAAGGAGGTACCATGGTGATGAATCAGTTGAAAAGCGCTTTGAAGAGTTTAAACCAGGAACAATAAGTGACAACCTTAAAGAAGCCCTTGGACTTGGTCAAGAAGACCTTCCTTTGTACATTTATAGAATGCGATATCGTGGTTATCCCCCGGGGTATTTACCAAAGGCAGCAAGACCAAGCTTACTTCTTTATGATGGGGATGGTAACATTGATGATTACGTTGTTGAAGAAGATGATGTTCACATTTCTCTTATTGAGTATCCTGGATTCAATGTTCCTCTTCCAGAAGGTGAAATATTTACCGTTGTAGCATTTTTAGAAAGCTTGTTCAGCTTATGAAAGTCATTCAATTCAGGTATATCGGAGGATTTGACAATATTTTACAAGGAGAAAATTGAGTTTGAGGCTACCAGGCTCACACAAACCTTAGTTAAATTCAAAATAAATTTTTTACTCTTTCATCACCAGTGGACCCTTGTGAAGCTAAAGCAAAAAATTTTCTGAACACAGATGACCTCTTAAGCAGCTATATATCGGGGATTGAAATCCCCAATATTTATGTAAGACAAACTCTTCTGGTTTCTGCATGTTTGCTTTTTTTAATAGGGAGAAAATAGCAAACTTTGATTTTAATTCTCATAACCTGTTTGTTTGATCATCTTCGGTTACTACTGGGAGAAACTTGATTATGATCACTATTGAGAGGGTTTAGCAGCGTCTGGTAGCACCTTACAACTTTACCTTTTCCCTTCAAGACTAGAAACATCAAAGTTTTTGAACAGAACATATATGCTGGCAACCCTAGTTTTTGCAGATTTAGAGAGTTGGGCTCTGTGCAATTTTTCTGACTTAGAGCTCAGCCTTGCTACGCACACTTTTTTTCTATTAGGTGTAAGAGACAACTCAGCTAAGATGGGATTTCCACCGATGCAGATGCATCAGCATATTGACAACTTAGCAGCTATGTTTAGACACACAAGAGGACTTGCAAACAGGGGAACATTGAATCAAACCAAGAAAAGAAAAAGACCAGAGCTGGACCGAGAAGAAGAGGATATGGAAGTTGAGGAAGATGGTAAAAAGAATTATTACTAATAACCAATGTGTTTCATTTGAAATAGACAGTGTTGGACCCCCATATGAGGAAATGCCAAAGCACTGAAAAAGTAATAATAGCAAACAATAATGAATAATGGAATGATTCATTATACCAGGGTTATTTCATATTGAGATCCTGTCCCATGCATATTACTATAACTGGAAAGGGGAATAGTTAAACCTGAGTTTTGCTCAGGGTTTCATTCTAGTGGGTCCGATTACTGTAACTGCATCAGGGTTTTCATTTGATTTTGTCTTGAAGATTGTTTTTTCTTTGACATTTTAATTTTCTGTGGAAGAAAACATTCTTGCTTTGTAGTGCATTTAAAGGGTTAGGAATTTCATTATTTCGTTGTTTATCCTCTTACAGGTGGAAAGAATACATCAGTAGAGTTTGGATCTGCAGTTGTTAAGAGAACAAAGTATGATTTCGGTGAAGACAGCACTCAGGAAGACAACCCTGGCTACTCTCCCTCCCACCCTGGTGTTCAGTGTGGATCAGAAGAAGAGGAACTTCTGAAACGTTTCAGAAAGCACAGTGCAAGTGGCACCTCACATCACCCTCCCTCAGGAGGCAGTTTAACAAGCAAATCAAAGATGAAGAGGAAGAATAGCTTAGAAGAAGGTGAGGTGATCTCTGATTGTGAAGGTGAGCTGGATGATGGAGACGAAGAAGAAGATGATTTCCCTGAGACCAGTCTTGGCTGGTGGCTGAAGGAGCCATTAGAGGCTGTGTCCAGTACTCAGCCAAAGCTTTCACCTCCTCCTAAACCCTCGGTACAGCTTCCTCTGGAGGCACTATCAAGATTCTACACCAACAGCACAGTGCTGCAGAAGATGAGCTTTGAGGATAGAGTTATGTGGCTGGATCCCATATATGGTAACATCCAACCGGTGTCTGGGCGATATGACAAGCTGCGTCAACTACTAGGAAAAAGGAGTGTCACCAAGTAGAACTTATAAGTCACCAAATGTGGTGTCATGTTTATTATGCAACAGTTTCAACAACAATATTTCCTCCCACATGTCTCTTAGTGGCCTAACAGTGTTGCTGCATGGCAGAAGTATGTGAAGGGGTATTGCCGCCTTTCTTGTATCATTCTCTTGATGGCTTTCACAGTGCCACACAGCTTTGAATCATTGGTTAGCCTTGCAAATTTTGTAACATAAGAAGTAGGGGAAACAGTATAATGAAGCCTTGTTGACAATTTCACATAGCACAAATAAGTTTAAAGGAAATTTAGGCTTTTCTTAAATTGAAATAATTATTTTTAGCATGCATCCTAGTGTGTGACTATCTTATGTGTCACAAATTTCATTCTTGTACCAGTTCCATACTTTTTTATGTATAGTCATGGACAGAAATTTTTACTGAAAGTTAATTCCTTCATTTGTAATTTATATATGGTAGGGTACATTTTTTATTTTGTACCATTTCTCTTGACACTGTTCAGGCAATGAAAAGAAGGGACTTTTCTAATCTAAAACGAGATGTTTCTCAACATTTTTCTTGCAAAATGTTTTAACTAGGTAGACAATGGGCAGAAGGAAAAAAGTATGCTCCCCTTCCAGTATTAATTTTTCTTTATTCCTCGTTATTGTAGTTTCAGTGCCCGAAGGCTTTTAAAAAACGCTTCAATAGTTGCTACTCATTCATGACATGTTTACAAGCTTAAAATTGGCGGCTATGGACCATAAACACTTTTTCTAGGGCTCGGTATGGACAGTCGTAAATTGTCTAGAGCTACCCTCTCCCCTTGAGAAACGGATTTTCCTGATGGAAGTGGCGGCTAGCCTGTGTACAGACGTTCCAACTCCCGCAGGAAAAATCGGGGCGGCTGTACACAGGCTAGGATGGTCAAAGCCGATACAGTGCGATAGTGTAATTTCTTTGCAGTATGAAACACACGATCTGATTACTGTTCATTTGAATGAGCGCGTAAAGCATTTATGTGTTTATTTATGTAATTTGGCCTCGTCCTCACGTATCCCTTTTTCTTTGAAAACGGAGATTTTTCCTACGTTTTTGCCAACCGTCCACGCCTACCCATGAAAACGGTCACCGAAAATGTATTTTCAAAAAGCTCTCCAGAGAAGAGACTTTTGAAAATTCTGCCTTATCGTTCTCGTGCGAACAGACGAAAACGGAGGTTTCGAATACGGTGACCTCATAAATCATACAGCACCGATTCGAATACGCTACGTGTGAACGCGCGTTTTTTATTTCGAAAACAAAGAAAAAATCTCCGTTTTTAACAATATCCCGATACTTGTGGACGATGCTTTAGATATTGGTGTTTCAGGTGATACATGCGGTTGTAAATAGAACGTTAATGGTGACTAATACAAGTAATTGATTTGAGGGATTGTTACATCATTTGACGTCTTCAGACTAATCTGAAAAACTAATCTGCCAATGGAACATTGGTTTTTTCGAGTTTTTGTAAGCACCAGTAAGCGAACATTGCGAATGTGCATTGTTGAAGAGCGGCTTATAATAGGTAAACTGTAAACTTACCAAAATTTGCAAGTAATTTGTTTAAAGCCAGCGATGATATAGCCAAGCATAAACCTAAAATCGCAAAATTTACCTTACTGGTCCATGTCAAAACTTTAAAACTCGTGGAAGGATCTACTGATTTCAGGAGACGAGATCAGTAATTTCTCAAAAAGTTGCTCGAAAAAACAGAAACTTTTTTGGTCTGATGCTAAAATATTCAAAGAAGATTCTGCGCCAGGGGGGGAGGATTTGGCTCCTTTTTTACCGGAAATTCATAAATTGTCTATTAAAACATTACGAAATATTGAAGAAAGGCCAATTAAAGCACTAAAAGTCGCTCCGAACTCTCAGAATTGGAAGATAACTAGAGAAATTGCTCAGAATGCAAAAAGTTGCTCGAAATGCAAGAAGTTCCCAAAAAGTTGCTGAGCTACTTGAGGAAAGCCCTAGATTACAGTGCCCAGAAAGCTGTGCTCCCGGCGGCGAGGGCAGGGGTGGGGAGGAGAGAACTTTTTCTCCTACCCCCGCCCCCACGAAAGCTTGCACTCCGGCTAGAAAAACTGTTCAGTGTTTTCTGTGTTTGCACTAGTTGCACGAACTCCCACAAATGAGCCTGCTCGCAGGCTACGCCGACAGCGCTATCGCTGTTGCTCCTTGATTTTTAGAAAAACGTAATTTTGCTTTTACAACTTCAAAACCAATTTCCGTTTTATTTTTATCACTACCAGACTAGTTGGCTACCTGGGTTTTTAATAGCAGCCGCCTTCTGTCGGTCTGTCTTGTGTTCCCTTTGTTCCCACGAAAGCACATATGAATGTTTTATTGATCTCAAACACATCTTAGGAGCAACTCATAGGTTTATATTAACGATCAGAAAAAAATAAAAAAAGCCTCGAATTTCGAAGCAAATTGATTGAAAAAACATTTCATCTGGTTAAGGACGTCCACTTTAAATAGAAGCGTACGTTCACATTTTAACAGTAAGCCAGCAGATTGTAATAAGGAAAACCCTTAATACTGACAACACCAAATATTTGCTGTTGGCTTCGCTTCTGCTCATCCAATCAAAAGTCCTCCAGCTACGGTACGAACAATGCCTTAAAAGCTGTAAAATTTGTAGTGAAAGTTTAGATTTGCTGCAGTGTAGACGAGAGAGCAAAAATATCATCATATTTCGGCCTCGTTTAGACCTCGTATTTCGCTTTAGCCTGTTCCAGGCTCCGAGATAGTGGTGAAAAGTCGTTCAGTAATAAGCCCAAGTCGCGCGTGTCTTATTTTCGCTTTGCTCGTTTAATATGTCCCGACTATACCATCTGAGAGCCTGGCACAGGCTAATTTCGCTTGAACTTTTATACCTCACTGCCGCCCCTGAATTTGTTTCGCTTCAAGTGAAGAACGATATACTGAATCGCGCCTTAACTGACCGAGTTCGTCATATTTTTTTTCTTTTTTTTTTTTCTCTTTGCTCACTATAGATTAAAAACTCCGAGTAATAGTAGTAAATTACTTATTAGCCGTGTCAACTAAGTTTAAATCCTACACAAAAAAATATTTCCCTTTCCAAACACCACCACCACCAACCCAAGAAACCGAAATACTCGCGGCAACTCTGAAAATGTACCTGTTTCAGTTCTTCGTTCGATAGAGTTAAGCATTAGCAGCATAAGAGGCTCAGGATAATTGCATCCTCTTCAGCTGTAAGCAATCGCTGCAGTTGTCAATTTTGACGCGCAAAACTGAAAGTTACGACAACTTTGTTTGACAGGTATAAAAGTGTATTGTCAAATATTTCAACTTTTCATCTGCGCGGTTTTTTTTTTTTTGGAAGTTCACGGTAAGGTTGTTTTGTCAACTCGTTCCTTTTATTTTCTCGTTGGAATTATAAATCGAGTTTTAGTGAATCAAAGGCTGTGGCGCACATTTTCCTGTCATTTGATCCTTAGTATAAATGCAAATTTTGAACAGAGACACTGGTGCAAAAGTTTCGTTTTCTAAATTCAGGTTTCTGTTTCTAGAAGGTTATTCTGTTTCAATCTTCCGTTCGTAGTCTTATTAAAGCGGCTCCAACCAGCAAAAATTTAAAACCAAATCTCATGAACAATGGAAAGATTCATTAGATTTAAATTCCTTCCCATTTATTGAAAACTCATCATTTGTCAAATTATCATTGTTTTTTTCCATTCTCGGCAAAAACACAACCGCTTTCTTTTGGATGTAATTTTAATCGATCTCACTTTATTAGCTTGCACAACACTAGGAAATCGTTCATTTAAATAACTTTAATTTACAGAACCGACAGCGCCTGATTATTCTCTTTGACTGGAATTTAACGTGGTTTAAAATCTTTTAATCAATACAAACCGTCAAATATCTGGTGAAATTACTTTAACTATGCATTTTACTAAAAAGATTTCTTTATTTATTGACAACAAAATTGTTTCATAATTTAACGGAAAAAAATGCAAATTTAGCGCCTGAAAGCGTTGATACAATCACATCTAAATTCTTAAACCTTCCGCGTAACATCTAGCCAGATGTCAATAGCCTTTCCCGCGCCAAATTTCGCAGCCAAGAATCAAAGTTTGATCTTTGGTTCTCGGTGAACCAGTTGCTGGCGTAACTAGTAGCCAAGAGCATATGGACGTCTTGTGAATATCCAGCGTAGCCGCGGTAATAATCATAACATCGTTTAACCGCGTTAAAAATGCGATTTCGGTCGACATAGTAGGGCTTGTTCAGTAGATAGCGCATAACGAGGCTGGCGAGTTGGGCGATGCTTGCTGGGGAGTAGCCGTAGTTGTAATCGGGGTCCCAGTCAGGATCAAATTCGCTGTTCTCGTCATACATTCTCATCTCCAACTGGAATTGTAATTCTCTGAGTTCTATTTTCACACGTCGCACATCCCCTTCCGATTCCATCAATGATCTTTTTGTTTTGTTTAAATCCAACTCCAGCACAGCGATCTGCCTTGTAAGCCCATCAATGGTCGGTTCCTCCTTTGTACGTTTCTTGTGTCTAGCAACCAAATCTTTGATTATTTCGCAGTCGGCGTGGTGGTCTGGTAACTCATGTCGCTTGACGCTCTTTCCGCAGGCCCCGCACTCGATCAGGCCAAATTCACACACTTGTAAATGCGCTTTAAGCTTATCTAGTTTTAAAACCATTTTACAACCGTTCTCCTCGTTGTCACAGTGAACGGCAAGTCCCTCTACCACTCCTCGGAGAGCCAAAACCGGAATCACATCGTGATCAGAAACGTCGGATCGACAAGAAGGACATGTCGTGGTGTTAGGTCGATTGAGCCAGATATGCAAGCATTCATCGCAAAATGAATGTCCACAAGGCGTAATGACGGCATTTTCCAAGACCCCCGCGCAAATACTACAAATCAAATTCTGATCCACATGAGTGACAAACCGGTTAAGTCCATACCCCATCCTCGAAAGTCAACTCACTCCAAACTGTTTACCTTCGCTGGTAGAAGCCTGCAAAACTGTGACTAATTTTTCTGGTTGTTGATGCTAGATAAAAACGGTTCGGTTGGTTTATTGCGTGTTCGTCAGCTGAGAAAATATTGTATTGTTAAAATAGTACACGTCACTTTTCATCAACGGACAAAGAGCGCGTTTAATTTGCATATCGTGACACGAGCGCGCGCGTTCATTTAATTTTTCGCGGGAGAATCAATAACTAAAAGAGAGGATAATACGACTGGAATACACGGAGAGAGCTATTCTTTAAATCAAACCTTTCTTTTTCTTGTGAAACTAGCGATTTTAGTGTTTGTTTTCATTCTGTTGTATTTAACAGGTGATTAACATCTTTAGGTTTTGTTTCGATATTTTAGTCATTATAAAACCTGTTGTTTTGTATTTTCGAACCCCCTAAAGAAGTCCTTTTGTGAAAATGATATCAGACCACAATACACTCAAAGCTACAAAGCTGTAGGATATGAAGTCTTTAAATTCTAGATTTAGCAGGCGTTTTATGTCATAAATATTCTACCTGAAGACAAAAGATTATGCGTTTCTCAACACAGGCCATTTTCTTTGCTTCATATAATTTGTTGATTCGACTTTTTCCTTAACCTGTTGAGCTGGTGTGTTTTAAAAACAACCTGTATTTTCACTTTTAACGATCAATCATTCGAATATGCCATTGTAATTCTTAAGCTGCTCTACCGATAAAATAATCAACAATTTAAATTTGTTCCGAAATTTCGGATCGATTTAAGATAAAAAGTTTAAAATGCAATCTTTTGTTCATCTTTTGTTCGTATTTTCTGTAATTTTGATTGACAAATGTGCCCGAAGGCATGACACTTGCTTGACTTGCTTGATTGGATTGAGTTCAATACTTGGCAGCTATCGACAGTCATGATCATTCACAAACTGCTTCTAGGGTTAGCAAATGCGTTTTAACCGGCAACAAAGGGCGCTTTAATTAGGAGAAAACTTAATTCAGACATTCAGTTACGCAAACGAATTTGGTAAATTTATCACAAAATATATCTTACTAAAACCTATATTCATCAAATTTCATAAATTTCCTGAAAAATAAATTTTTCTAACATCGTTGTTCCCAAAATACGGAAACATCGACAAAAATGAAATCTTGGATATATAACAGCCTGTTTGCTTTGTTGTAGAAAGGCGGAAAAGGGGCGAAATAGCAAACGCGGCCGACAAATGTCTCTATCTATATTTTTACATTTGAGACAAAATAACCCTAAAAGTAAACTTTGATCAATTGCACGTTATCTTCCTTTGACAAGCGTAATAATTGAGATATAAAATGGTTACTTACTCAGTCGTACGGATTAATTATATTACTTCCTCGACAAGTGAATTGACTTAGTTTACTCTGAAGTAAAATTTGCTGAATTTCATTACCGCGGCATCCCTCTTGTTATTTAACACTGAACACAAGGTCATCATAACTCGGGAAAGACAAACACGTCGCCAAATAAATCTTAGATAAATTAACATTTTGAAAAGTCAACAAGGCATTATCTTGGATTTTTTTATTTTATTTTAGACCACCTATGTTTTTATCAATACTGGATATGAAAGTGAAGAATGATCATCGCAGTAAATTTTCCATATATACTTCACATCAATACTGGATATGATGGTCACTCTCCAGGGGCACCCAATGGATCTGTTCCTCAAAATATCTGTTCTTCATGCAAATTTTTGCTGGCTGGGAGATGTGGAAGAAATAATAGTCCTTGGAAGGAAAGTGTTGCTAGGAAAAAGATAAGTCAGGGTGTCAGAGGGGATTTGAAGTCTAGCATAGCTGCTACGGGTTACTTGTATGGGTTGCTTACCACTCAAGATCTGAATTGTGCCCTATGAAACTTCCCAGTAAGTCAGGTTGCAGGTTGTAAGGTTGCTGGCTGGGAACTCTTCCATCAGTCTTGCTGGGAGTGAGGAACAGATAATTTTTTTCCAGCAATCTCTCAAAATGCCTTAAATAGTCTCAGAAAACTTTATTCACGCCTTGTTGTTGTTTTTAGGTCTTTTTCTCAAAATTTCCCGTTGGGTGCCCCTGACTCTCTTCATTCAAACCGTATAAACTTCCAGTCCGCGCAAGATACACACTGTAGACTTCTGAAAATGTTAGAGAACAATACTTTTCCGAGATACAAATGATCCGATCCCGGCCCAACCATCATCATTTATCAGTTACCAGGGTTAGGGTTAGTAATGAGTGTGAGAAATGTTTTATCCGTAGACAGGTCCTTATT